CCCCCCCCACCCCCTTCAATCATTAACAGGTTCTAATGGTGTTAGCTTGCTAGCATTGTCACTGACAATTCAGATGTATCAGATTTGTATTCCAAAAGTTCCATGGATACTGAATCCTACTTATCATCTGACATTGAGTCAGACTGAAACATATATACGTTGTGTTGATTTAATAATAATTGTAGTATAGTTTAATAAATAAACTTAAATCTGGGCACAAATACATTCAATACTCAACAATAATTATAAAATGTTATTTTTTTCCGTACCTATAGTATTAAAATTTTGGTACCCCCCTAGAGGTTCTGAGTTTTTTTCGTACCCCCCTCAGAGGTTCTGGGTTTTTTTCGTACCCCCCAAAAATATCTTCCACACGCCCTAGTAAATACTTTATGACCGGTCCCTTATGAAGGTGTACGAACCCTGAGAATGGTTGTAGCAAGAAAAACTGAACGGTAATTCATCTTTTGAGTCTTAAACTGTCTAAACTCGATCAATAATACATTAAAATTGTCATTTTTTGTTATACCTGCCCGTCAACTGAAATCCCAAAATTACATCATTGCAAACAAAGATCACAACAGCGAACTCCTTTGCTTTGATTAGTTTGGGCGCTACATCGTCGATGGTCGGTATTGGGTAGTGATTTTTGATAACTCCTTTGTTTAGATGCAATGAATCGAGACAAACTCTCGTCTTATTTAGATCCTTCACTACAGCTCATGCTTTACTGGTACAGGAACACGTCTAGGATTGTTCTGTACTGGTTTAAGGCCCGGTTTAGACGCCGTGCTTTTCATGAGCCGAACTTAATTCATATTTTACTCGAGTAAAATATGCGTACTTCCAATTTTGATTTAGACAGGCGTGCTTTTCATACATGAGCCGTACTTAATAATTTGCGCTGCTTCACTTCGAAACCTGGGGCGAGTGACATTTCATAATAAGAAAAAAAGGTTTATCACATACAATCTTGGCATTTCTGAGCGTCTACAGGTTTTCGGTTATTAAAAATTTCAACTGCCTTTTGAAAAGCCTTAGTTATCACTACAAACATAGCATAATGCCTGGATATAATGTGTGGGAAAACGAGACCTATAGGCTTAGGGCAGTGGCGTAGCCAGCTCGATAAGTGGGGGGGGGGGGG